GCCAAAACAAAAAGAATACAAATACAAGCTTAAATATATGTTCATATTTGCCATATGAAATAATAGATACCCTTACAGCACCAAGTTGTACCACAAAATCGTGCAGCGGCTGACATTTTATTTTTAAACGAGTATTTATTGCAAATAAGCTCTCATTTCTGATTCAGTCAAAGGTATATAAAAAAGCTGTTTAAAAAACGGATTGTCCTTTGCGTAATTTGTCATTCACATAGGAAGGATACATCATTATATATAAATAACTTTTTTGTTTGTCGAAGAAAATGTACTAAGTTTTAGTTAATAATACCAGCACTCTGCTCATAGACATTACACTCTCTAATAATAATAATAATAAATAAATTATAAAGATAATAAGAACGAAAAAAGAGATAATTCAATATTTAAATTATGAAAATAAAAAGAAAAGATGAGAAATAGTTGAATATAATCGAATAATTTTATTTATTTTTATTATGAATCAAGCCCATGGCAAAAGGCTTAAGAAAATCATGTGACTTTGTTTAAGTCAAGTGTAGCAAGCGGAATTTGAGTAGCGGCATTTGTGAAAATGTGCACACGAATATTATTTGTTATTTGAGCAGACTTTGTCTGGCATAACATATTATATTTATATATATGTATGTGTGTACATATAGACAGGTGGCTTATAGCAAACCCGAGTAGTTGGGTCAGTCAGTGTAATCACCATAATTCTGAATAAGGCGACTGCGACGCGGCCAAAAACGCTAAAGACTCATTAATCTTAAGCCATGCACAAATATACGACACATTTGTAGCATGTCCTGCAAATCGCGACTTTTGCCGCCAGAGCTGTTTTAATTGTCTCTTTTGTCCTGCGATGCGGAACTTTAGGCACCGGACTCAGTTGAGCTCTACGGGCAGAACAAATACGGAGCAGAGGACATGACACCAGCGGCTGTGTCATTCAGTCGTCAGCGCACAGTGTTCAGTCGTTGTCCTGTTCGTGTACCTTATTTTCTTTTTTTCATCGGCAATAAGGTGTTTTTGACGATCCGCCAGGACAGTGCATTACGTTGCGCTTTTATAAATATGACGATAAATTTCGTTTGCCACTGCGACTTTTGTTCTATTTGTTTTTTTTTTTTCAGTTTATTTCGACTTCATTTTGGTTTTTAATTTCCTACTGGGATTTACGCAAAAGGTATACCGCCTTTTTTCCCTGTCATGTCTGCACTGTGGCAGCATCAGCAGCGACGGTTTTAATAGACCTCGTCCAGTCTGGGCGATTTTAATATAAAAACTACAACGTCCAAAAGCAACAGAGGGCAACAAAAACGTCGCTTTATGTGCCATGTTTTCAGCTTTGAGCAGCGCTTAATTTTGGCCAGAAAAAAGCAAAGTGAGATAAGCGCTTTAAGCCCTATTAACGGGCTTGTGGCTCGAGAACCATGTGTTAGTGGATGTATGTGTCTGTGTGTGTGTGTGTGGAAGAGTCTGTATGAAAAGTTAAGCTAAGCAATTTGTAAAATCTGCAGATTGGCAGCCATATTAAAGAGCTGAAAAACTGTTTAAGTAAAATGAGCCACAAACTATTCTGAATTTCCAAAGACAGAATAGAAGGGAATACTAGATTTTGGATAAGCAACAAAAAAGGGATATATAATAATATATAAATATAAGTGGCAGAACGAAAATATTTAAAATTTTAAAGGATATTGTTTTAAGTTGTGCCTATATTAGGCTGTTAGTTATGCAAATTTCGCTTATGTGCGTATCTTTTATATCTCCTGCATGGCCTAAAGTCACTTTAATGACGAAATAAATAAGTATGTAACACATTGTGTCAACCAAATTAACGCTCTTATGATTATCTCAATACAGCTCTGTTGCAGCACACAGGCCACTCCATCAATGTGGAAAATCTCAACGGAAAGCAATTTAAGCCATGTCCGTTGAATCACACACATACACATACATACACAACCACACACGTAAAGCTAACAAGCTCATTGCTCATAGACGGCGGCAATCAAATCAGCTAAAAACTTGTTATCGCCTCCTTTGAGCGACACCAAGAAAATTAATGACCACCCAACCATTCGCCACGGCCAGAGCTTGCAACAGGAGACTCGATACTCGAAACACACACTAAATGCAATTGCCTATGCGATGCCGGTGCTGGGGCTCATTTGAAATATGTAAAGCATATAAATTATGTGCCCAGCCCGGTTGGGCGACAAACTGTGAATGAATCAAAGGATAATCCAATTTATTTCACATTATGTGCACCGCCTGCTCATTGTGCCCCGTTACAGATATAGTACTACAAAGTGTGGCAACTTGCAATTGCGCCTGCAGTCGAACTTCAAAGGTGTCAACCTGCAGCAAACTGCAAAATGCAAACCAGCCGCCCTCGCAACTGAAACGAATCTCTGATGCTAACCAATGCACTTTCTGGCAATCAATACGTTTTTGTCTCTAATATAATTTACTGTCTCTAATGTGCGGAGTGAAGTCTTTGAATAGCGGCCAGGCACTTAAGGCCATTCAAATGATGTGGTGAGTGAGCCGAATTGGATGAGAGTGAAATGTTATTCATTTGATATTCCAGTAGCAAATGCATAGGAAAATGCAGATTGCGGCTGTAGAAATGCACAAGGTATTCATTTCAACAATAGAGATCAACAATAAAATCGATTAGTATCTCCTTACCTGTCGATCTGCTTATATAGGTACAGCAATTGTTAAGAATATGAAAGTTACTTTATTTATTTTATATGTTCTTTATAATATCAATATTTTAAGCGTTTTAATTGGCGATCTTTAAACGAGACAGTCAGGATATCTTTCGAAACTTTAATACCCTTGTGGACATTTGCTTTACTGTTTTTTGAGGCTCGTAAATGAGTTTCTTGAGAAGCTGAATATTTTTCTACTCAAGAATCTACATTTCAAGCTATAGTTCGTACTAGTGCGTATACCGTAAACTTTTAATAAGTAGGTATCTAAGTTTGAGATTTTGATGAATTTGACAATCAGATATTATAATTTTATTTACAAGCTATGAGAATCGTCGAAAATGACGCTTACCCTGTCTGTCTTTTACTTTTGTAGACTTGATCGCGCTTTGCATCAGTTTTATATCTTTTGGCCATAGCTTAAGTTTTTTAATATTTTACACTCAACTGACTTTGCTGAAAAGATTGCAAAAACGCAGGTCAGGCAAGTCTATGCGAAAACCATACACATGTCAGTCACACTTAACCCCGGGCCATGGTAAAATGGCTTTGGCGGGGTGCAGTAGACCGCAGGAATTTCAAATCCAGATTTGTTTTGATTGCCCTGCGGCAAACTTATTATTTTAAGTCAGCAAATGTTATGCGGCTTATGTTTTTGCAGTGAACTTTTCATAATTTTAACGTTTTCCCAACATTTATTATATGATTTCCGGAAATGTTTTGAGGCGCCGTCGCCGCGTCTCAAATTTATGCGCAGCGCATATGTCAACAGCTCGTTTTTTGATAAAAAAAATAAATAAGAGAAGCATAAAAGGATATATAATGACATAAGGATATAGAATATGTGTATCCTTGCTTGGCTACTGTTGCTGCTTTGGTAAAAATTTGCATATTTGCATTTCAATTTACCGCCTCAGTGTGTGTAGTTAGGGTATCTGTTGTTTTTTTTCTTCTCCTTTTTGGCTTGGGCAAAAATTTAATTGTCAATAAAAATTTACCGTGCGGAAAATTTGTTATGCAAACAAACGAAATTGAAATGCGGCTGCTCTGCGTTTATCGTGTGCATTTTCTATGCGATTCGCTGCCTTCGAGTAGACAAACCCACACACAAAGACAAGCCCGCAGCAGACAGATTTGCATTATCTCAAAGGCAGAGACATATATCTGGTATTGGATTGTGAGAATATTTTTTCTTTAAATAATGCATGAAACACGAAACATTTTACACTCCCAACGACAATGTGTAATTGAGTTAATTGGTAAAATCCAAAAGCCCCTAACATTAAGTATGTGTATTTTGTGGGGATTGGGCAGCGTCTCGTTGCTGTTCTTGTAATTTTGTAATTTACATTGCAGGTTTTGAATTTACACTTGCAAGCAATTAATAATGCTGCATTAGGGTTATCCATAGAGCTGTGCATACACACACACACACACACACGAAGACATCCTTCTTGCTAGCCGTTCGCATATGCACGACAATTAAGCAGGATAATTAAGTTTATCGTTCATTGGCTTTGCATTTTACCCAGCTGCATATCACTCTCTCACATTCTCTCCATCTATCTATCTGGTATTTGCCTAATGTAACACGTATGACAGATTATAGCAGGATGTTCAAGGATTGGGGGGCACTGCAGGACATGATTGTGCATATTGGACAGGCAATAAGAGCCTGTATCTAAGTGCATTTTCAAATACAACTTGGCCATGGAATCGAAATTGCAAAAGTTATGTAAATGGATTGCAATTGCAGTAGCAATCAATGTGGGAGAGAAAAGTCCATAGCCCATTTGTCATTTGGGCCGATAACCAAGGGACTCAAGTTTCCATTTAGTAGTTCACACTTTGGCAGCCATATCATAAAATGCTGTCGTGTCATCAGACATTAAAGATGCCATTGCTAGACGCAATTAAAACCATTCAAAATAAACATTTCATTACCAGCAAAATGACGTTAATGTCACAGCCTTCGTATCTCTCTCACTCTACAACTCGATTCCTGTCTCCCGTTGCACTTTACAAAGTTTGGCTGCAAAAAAGCACAGCAGGGACAACATTGTCATAAACCTTGCTGACATTAAGATAACTTTTAATCATCATAAAAAACCAAAAAACCTGCACAACCCACAACCCCTTTTTCGCTCAAGGTCTGCAGCGTAAGCGGCTTTTCGTGTCGCCATTCGCAACTGCATTAAAAAAAATAAAACAACAAAAAAAATATATATTTTTAAACAAAACAATAAAACAAAAAAGAAATAAAAGCTTGGACTGGCTTACCGGCTCCTGGCTATGATTTCGTTTCTGATTCCGATTCCGATTTTGATTCGTATATTAAATTGTTTCGGTAGCTTTTGTGGAGCTGTCGACGTCGCGTTGTTGCCTCGTCGACCGTTCCTCTGGCTTGTGGCATGTTGCGCCCGGCCAAACGGAAATGTAATGAAAATTCAATTAAAAAATGGCATTTGCCAGATTTTACGAGTTGCATTCGATGGATGGGCGCAGGCAGTGATGGTGGACAACACTGATGGCAAGCCAACGACAACTTTTGTTGAATTTACTTGGACTTTAGCTGCAAAAAATTAGTAAAAACGAATTGGTAAGTAAGCATAACTGACACAGCTTTAAAGTACTTTAATTAATCATTTATGACTCAAATTTGTAAACAAATAATAATTACATTTCCCAATCGCCCCGTATACCGATTCAGATCGGAGCGGATCTTGCGTGCAAACAAATCGACAAAAACATGTAATTTCACTTATCTGACATAATGTCAATGATTTTAAAATCGGCTACCCTTTGTACAATAAAAAAAAAACATAGGCAGCAAATTCACATATAAATTACAAAAAAGGAAAAAAAATTACCCCTTATCATGTCGTGGGATAACAATAACAACGAGTTGACTTGTGTAACAAATAAAAGTCACTTGATAAGCCCGATATATGCAACCCCTTGTTGCCAAAAGGGTGTCGGGCCAAACATCGTATGCTAATCACACACACAGTCTGGCAATATAAACGATGCAGACACACACACACACACACACACACACACACATACACCCATCAGATCCGCCTTAAACATGCTTAAGCACAAACCAACGAGCCAAAGATCTTTTTTGGCTGTATTCCTGGTACTTTGGTGGCAAATGGAAATTGTGATTCTTTTATAGCCTGGCGCCGCTTGAATGATTTTTATGGGCTATGCCAAAAAAAAAGCAAAGATGAACTCGAATGCCAACAAACTGATTTGCATGTCTTTGTCAAGGAATTCAGCTGAAGGAAAAAATATTTCGATTTTCGCCTTAGCTTTGTAACACTCGAAGGAAACATTGGGTAGTTCTGTGGATTTCGTATAATCGAGCTAAGATTATTTAAAATTTTTCATTTCTGTCAATTTAATTAAGAAGTGCGACTAATTCGGTTTTAATAACAACCAATGATTCATTCATTATTATTGATGAAAATAAAAAACGTTATTACAAATATTAAAAACAACAATATGAAAATGTTTTAAAAAATATGACAACAATTTACTTTAAAGCAAAGCTAATTTGTTTTTAATTCAGGATAAAACACATTTCCTGATTTTCTAATCAACATTCACATAAATGGAGAGTCATTCTTGAGGACTATTTCAAGAGTATTTCATCTTCTATATTTGGAGCGACATTTTTTGTAGTGTGCTGCCTTTTTTTCTAAATGTGTTCTTTTGGTTTTCAATTTATTTTGATATTTTATTTGCATATGCAATAATTTACAGACGCAGCAAAGGAGTTTTTCAAGCCAGCTTCGACTGTGAACCGAATGGATTTTGTGTGGGGTTACTTTAGCCTTGCGAATACTATAAATATTTGATATGGCACTGCAATGAATAGGCAATTGTAGCTGGGCAAAAGTGTTGCTAAAAAGAAGCATTTAATAAGCACTAAAATGCATACAAAATCTCTTTAAGCTATTTTAGGATTGCATTTCCCCCACAACCGAACTGAAAAGTCGTATGTGCGCGTATGGGTATGTACCATTCAATTTCAAGAGCCATTAAAAACTATGCATGCAATTAAGTCGAGTGAAAATTTCATAAAGATAACAATCGACAAGAACAAGAAATAAACATATATAGCTAGAGATCTGTCTCTAGAGTATGGAAGGGCATGGAAGAAAAAACCTGCAGTTGCCCGTCAGTCAACACTTCAAATAAAAAGGCGGATGAGGAGACCACATTAATTTGCATTTAAAAACTGTTTTTAGTAGCATTAACAACAAACATGGGCCCAACATGGGGAGCAGGCCATTAACAAAGTGTCTCCAGATGTGGCAGCAACAGCGGCTGTGGCAGCGGCACAAGTTGATTTGGGGCCGCATCGTATTTAACATAAAAAGATGAAAAGTTTATTATGATTGTTGGCTGCTGTTATTAGCTCAAGAAATGGTTATGGGACCAGCGCACGCCATTCTTCTAGGCAACAACAAGCACACCAAATGTCAAAAGCCAGCGGTCACAGTGTGTCCAACTCCAGGCATAAATGGAGCTGCTCTCGCTTTAGCTGCCCCGTGTGGCAAGGAAGGAGAGGCAAGCGGTGGCACTTACAATGATCTTGTCATAAAACGTTCAGAGTCATCAAAGTTGCACTTTATGCGAAACGATCTTCGCTCAATGTTGTTGTTGTTGTTGTCGTCGTCGTTGTTGTTTTTGTTGCTCTGTTTGTTGTCGCTGCACGTGTTCATCGTCATCAGCATTAGCGGCGCTGTTGTATTAGGCGAGAACAGACAAACAAACGATGGAGACGACGTCAAAGAAGACGCTGATCGGACCAGGCCAGGAACTAGCACTGGCACTGGCACGGGCATTGGGTGCTGTCTTGTCACGTCTTGTCTGTGTGTGCTTGGTTTGCTCTTTGCACTCGACATAATCATAGAAATTATGTGGCCCCTGCCTTGGCTAAATGGTGTTGGCAATGCCATAAGCGCAGGCTAATAGACCCCGCATGAGGTCGTCGCTGGCAGCATTTGCTTAAGATGCGACGAAGAGCATTATTTGTATGCATTTATAGTTATAAAAGAAAAAACATAAACAGCAGCACAAACATTGTATAGATTGGTGAATAAGCTCTAAAGAATATAAGATGAAAACGGAACTGCTTAAGAGGAAATAAATAGAGCTATTCCACTAAATAATCATGGTTTGTTGGAAAATATATATTTGATAAGCTGCATTTTAAGACTCTAAACAACGTTGTAAACATGCTGTGAAAACTCATTCGAATAAGCTATTTATTCGACTTTTGTACAAAGGAGAGAACAACTCTTCCGTTATGATCTGTTTCCAAATGTATTCAAGCCATGAAGCTGCAACTTGGTAGCTCAGTAAGTATTCAAATTAATACACCATTCAAAATCTACACAAGCATATTCGATAACAATTAAAAAAAAGCTAGACTCGATTGTGCGAGACTAGAACATACTGTATATCTTTCGTTTAAATATCAAAGAAATATATATATATTCTGAAACTGTTTACACTTTAATAGAATCTACACACCAACGTTTATGTCCCTAGCTTTTGAAATCTATGAAATATGCTCAAAAAAGTATTTCGATATCGATTTATAACCATTATTATATATGATTACATCGACTCGGCTGTGGATGCTGAACATGAATATGTATACTCTATGGGATTTGAGATGTCTCCATTTGCCTGTTACAAACATGTGTATAAAACAATTATACCCATTTTACACACGCTAAATGGGTATAAATATATGAACACATATACTTCAGATAATTGCTTATCGAATGCTATTCCAAGGCAAAACATAAATTTACCCTTGCTGAATATAAACTTGTTGCCCATTCGGTTCTCGAATTATGTATCCTACAGATCGCTTTAGGAGCGGTACATTTAATATGCGAGCGTGTGACAGGCCCAAGTGCGCCTCAAGTGTTGTCACACACATGAATAACCAAAGGCATTACAACGATTTTGGGCCCGAGTGGCAAGTGGCAAGTGGCATGAAACCCAAAAAAACACGCAGAGCATAGCATGCAGCCCAAGCACTTGACACTTGCCACTGACTTGTGGCATGAGCCGTCGACTTGACATGCGGCGCTGCCGCTGATGCTGCCGCAGCCGATGCCGATGCCGCCGCTTCTGTTGGCTGTTTGCTGCCTCAAGATCATCTTTGTCAAAGATCTTTTTTCCCCAGAAAATTTGTTTGGCCTGCATCTGGGGACGCTGCTGTCGCTGATTGCCTGTCGTTGTTAGAAAAATATTATTTTCTTTATGTTTTGTTTTATATTTCTACGCTGATTGCAAAGACGAGTAGTTGCAGTTGGGGCGTGCTGCTGCTGCTGCTGCTGCTGCTGCTGTTGGTGCCACAGCACAAAGGGCAGCTTGCCGCTGCCGCTGTCAGTCAGTATGTGCTGCGGGGCAAACGGCGCGCTTGAGTGAAAGTTGATGTGCATGAAAAGTTTTAATTGCGCGTCGAGTTGGAGTTTTTAGTGGCAGCCAGGAACTGGGTGGCACTCACCGCACTGCTCATTCCAGAAACATATTAGAAAAACGATTTTAACACAAATTTTGTGGGTCATTTTTTGTAATGGGCCCCGACGAGCAGTCGCGATAAGCGATGTCTATATAGTTGCCCCAGCATCTTTTCCTTTTTTTTTTTTTTTTGTCGTGTCAAATGAAGTGTGGCATGTGCTGAAGATGTGCTGAACCCAGCCACGTGCTTGAATGAACTTTGCGTGGGTTTGAACGCGTAGGATAACAGATAGGCTCAAAGACTCTCTATGGATGATGCAGCATTATAGGGCAGTCCCTATATATTGATAACAACTTTTACCGTTCTTGCTGTTTTAGGCACGTGTGTTGAAGTAGCCCTTAGGTAGGAGTAAGATGGACAGCTGTACTCTCACAGATAAGTGAACACGAATATCAATCTTAATATAGAAATATATAGCATAGCAAAGTTTCTTCACATTACTAAGAAATAACTCAGCTCGAAATGATCAATAATTGGAAATGTAAAATAAAAAACAGCCATAACAAATTGTTAAACTTTTGTCCAATAAACTTTCTTAATGAACTATGCCACACATTGGAATGACAGCACATTAAGAAGCTTTAACTGAAAAATGCCAACACGCACAGCTCAGGCTTGGGATTTGATGATCAGCAGTAAACTGAGAAAGATTAACTACGCAACTCGAGTTCAAATGGTCAAAAGCTAATAAATTACTCAAATTCCGTAACCGCAGAGATGGACAACGAGATGTCTTTAAAGCTAACCAATGCCGTTTTATAGCACCTTTTCCAACAATACCAAAGCAAACCCAACTGGTTGAGCCATAGATCAAACACTTGGCTGTGGCAGACTCTCGGGCATGGCAATTGAAAAATGTAGATCAAGTTGGGGCGATAAAAGGCCAAAACCGCCTTTCACATTAATTATAAGTTTTTAAAACTACATAAAAACCGAACGTGTTGGAACTCACATTTTGATCGAATAGGAACCAACTTTCTGGGAATAGTTTTCATTATGTTGCAGTAATTTTTTTTTGAACAACGATCGCAGACGTCAAGATAAATCATTAAAACAATTTTATTAATATGATATCTGTTCAGGCATTTTATGTTTATAGCTTTTAGTAAATATGAGACACCCAGCCGCGAAAACAAGTTAATTGCTCCGCCCCAAAACGATTCTCATAAATGGGTCGCTTAGCTACATAAAGTGCTCATATGTGGCTCTAAAATGCGCTCTTTACGATCTCTTTTGTGTTTCCCTTTATTTTTTTCGGTCTGTCAACCCATTTTTATTTCCAGGAATTTTTTATTAGAAATAATTACACTATTTAACCATGGCTAAGTCAATTTTCTTTTAATTTTTAGAGATTTTTTTGTGCTTTGTACAAGTTTTCTTCGAAACGTAAAATGCATTAGCTCTACCAGTTTATTATTAGCAGCAGGTTTTGTTAGGTTTAACAGGCGATGATAACAGGCGAGTAGTTTTCAAGTTTTATACCAAACCCTTATAGATAAAACTCACTAGTGTCTAGTTTTTAGATACAGCTTTTGATCACAACACACAGAGCTGTTGCTAATGGCTACTCATCACAGAGCTTATTGAAAGCCAACTAAGCAATCGTAAACAGTTCAAAATGTCATTGTGAAACGCACCAACAATTGTACGAATATCACTACAAATATTCAGTATTTCAAACCAAAAAAGAAAACCCACCCATTAAATCCCCTTGGTATTATCTCCACGGCAATACAGAAAAAAGTGATGGACAATCTCCAGCGAATGCAACACACTAACGATTTCATTAAAAATGCAGTCAACTAGAAAAAACTCAATTAATTTCGACGTAAAAAACTTGGCAAGCGCCCCCATAAATGCAAAAAAAAAAAACTTATACTACATATACATATATCCGAAAAACAAATTTGGTTCGCTTGTTTTTTTCTCGCCTTTTTTGCAAATCATTCGGCAAACAAACACAAATGTGCATAAAATTACAACAATGCAACAAATTGAGGGATGCAAAAGTGCAGAGATGACCAAGGAGCGCCGCGACCGAGGTCCAACATCAAATATCAAGGGTTTCCGCTCAGCGCTCAATCCTCGAACCGAGCCCTCGCCCCCTTTCGGGTGCAGTGATATGCAAAAAACTGCATGTCATTGCGTTGGCAACGCAACTACCAGCGGGATTGGGCACAGGCGGAGGCACTCCCCCCCCGCCGTGGTCGGTCGAGGGCTTCACTTGCGTTTTTTATGTAGTTCACTTTTGAAAAATTGACAGCTTGACCGCAGTGCTTGTGTGGATATATTGTTATTGTTATTACATTGCTGTCGCTACCCATTGTTGCTGTTGTTGTTATTGTTGTCCTTGCCGTTGCTGTTGCAATTGCAATTCAAGCGAAAAATCATTAATATCCTTTGGCCTCAACGAACCCCACCCAGTGTGTCGGCTTTTCGGGCCCCTTTTATGTATTTTTTGTTGTGGTTGTTGCATTTGAATGCACGCTGCATTTCGACCCATCGACTTTTTATGAGGCTTCCACATGTTTGGCCCATTGTTGCCCGAACTTTGGGTCACTTAATGAACCTCGCGAGTTGTTTTTCGAGTTGCAAAGGTTAGCAGCCACAGAATGGTCATCATACGAATGAAGCAAGTATTTATACTCTTTAAATATGTCTCAGCATCGATCAAAGTCAGCGATTCGCCGATAAGGCAAACACTTCAATCAGCCAACCAACCACCTCCCCTTCCCATTTTGGTCTGCCCTAATACACTTGCCCTTTAGCCAGCCCCCCAGAACACCCTGTACACCTTTCACTTATCCCAAATTTCAGCAGCAATTACGTGTAGACACAAACACCACTCAGCTAAATATCTGGCTCAATAGTTTAATGAAATTATCAATATCCAGCTCGGACCCATGTGAGTCATCATCGCAGCAGAGGAGAGTGAAAAAACGATGAGTCCAGCCCATCACACACACACAGACACACACACAAGCATAATCGCCTACTGATGTAAATACAATATTTTCAATATAACCACTTAACGCTTAAGTCCCGCACCGCACCGCACCACACAACAAGACAAAAACACAACCCTCATCAGGGGTAGGCCTTGGTTACCCTAACCCCCCCACACACACACCAACACACACACACACACACACACACATAACATTATCTACTGAGCTAAGCGACATGACTACTACACACTACCTACTACTACCTAAACACATACTACCTTGCCAGCCAGGCCCTTGTTGTCATCCGCATCACCCAAGTGGCGGCGACGACCACAACAGTATCAATGCACAAACTGTACCCGGTGCGAGTGCGAGTGCGAGTGCGAGTGCTCGGTACCCGGTAAACTGTGTCCAGGAGCAGGGGCACTGACAGCAACCCCCAAATGCTCGGCTATGGAGGGTTAAAGTTTGAGACGATGATGATGACGACGACGACGACCACGACGACAGTGAACTGTCATATTTGCTTTGACTGACTGACTGACTGACTGACTAGCTGACTGACTGCCTGACGAGTTGCCAACACGTACACGAGTGCATAGATGAGTGCGGTGGTTGATGTGACTTACCAACTGACCATCTGTCGTGGCGAGCCGAAAGAGAGGTCCGGGGAAAATAACAAAAAAAAAAAAAAAAGCAGGGCATATTTTTCAGCGCATTTTTCCCTATTGTTGAAATTCAAATCGGGCCGTCGAGTGACAACTGTACCATGGGCAAGTGTAGTACGCAACGCTGGCCTCAACTGGCAAGTGCTTGTTGTTGTTTTTGTTGTTGTTGTTCTTGTAGCAAAACAAATTTTGTTAGATTTCTTTCAGATTTTTTGTCAGACATGAAAGATTTGCATAACTTGTAAGTGAGCGCGCGGCAAACACTTGAGAAATTCCTTTAGAATCTCCCCTCGTCTCATTTATGCTCTATGCACCATTCGAGTGTGTGTCGGCATTTCAGAGAGCACATTTTTCTAGGGGTTTCGACTGACAAAAGGGTTTTGCCTGGTAGGTTCGGCAAGAGCCGCGATTGAGCTTAATTGTTTGGAAAGATTTTCTCAACAATGCCCAGATTATGCAGGGCAACAGAGAGGGTTGGACGCACAGATGCTGTTTGCTTACTTTTGGCTATGCGTTTCTTGTGTTACGAGTAAAATATACTTTAAATTTTCGTGTCTGTCATAATTTTGATTTCTAGCCAGAACCAAGCAGGGCCACCTACATGGCAGCTATTTAATCTCGCCTGAGGCGCAAGCACAGCTCACTAACTAACCACAAAATGCTTTTGTTCAACTTTGCCCAACACCAGCTCACCTCATCGAATGCCACTCACTCACAAGGCAGCCAATTAATTGGCCTAGCCCATCCAGGCTACTTACAATGGCCAGATCTCGCAGGAGCCGCAGTAGTCCATAAGCATGTTCCGCACAATGCCTTAATAAAGAAATCATCGGTAGTCGGGAGTTGACCACATCAATGTGCTCCAGGTTTTGCCTGGATGCATCAACACTTCAATGAGTGCGACGGCCCTGTTGACTGGTCAGCTCGCATCGGAACTAGGCCTCAAGTGTGGGCAACGGCACAATGAGGCACTTCGTCTTTAGTCTGCCCTGCTTGACCGCCCGCTCGCCCGCCCGCCCATCCGCTCGACCGACCAATGCCACCACAATTATTTCCATTTGATTGAGCAAAGAAGTGTGCGTGGAGCGTTCCTTCCTTCTATTTTTTTTTTTTGCTTTTTTTACAACAAGCTGGACACATTGTGGGCTGCCTGGATAGGCGGGCACTGCGTGGTCATCACTTGCGACTCTGGCTTTCTGTGTTTATTGCGCTATATGCTTGAGTGCATTCGCATTTATGGACGACGATGATGGTAGCCGGAAAACTTGAGTATGACAGGAAGAGCGAGTTTTATGCATATTGTGCATATATTGCTGAACGATCGAGTACTGGGCGAGGCTTCAAGAACTTTAAAGCGGGAGTCCTCAATTTAAGCGAGTTTTAAATGCCGTAAATCTGACTGCCAAATCAAACATGTGGCTTTAGCATTTAATAAAATTTTCGCCGAGTCTAACTAGCCTAACTGATAAAAATTTAAATTCAAAGTAAATGAACTATAAAGTTACACCTCAAAACAAAATAATCAAAATGATATATAAAACTTCTAATAAAAAATACTGACTCTCGACGAACTTAATATTATTCAAATACGTGCGTCAGTTTTTAATATTCATATTATTTAAGAATTTTGCATAACTTTAAAAGCAGTGTGTGTGTGTGTACCTCTGGACCAATTAAATGCACTCTATAACGGGCTGGCGGCCCCTTTTGGCCATTTATCCTAATAGTTTTACAAGAGTGGCAAAATTTATGCTCAATTTAACACGCTACCAATGTCACTTGAAAACCAATTAAATAAATTGGCGCAACTTCGAGTGGCAAACTATGATAATAACCTTTCAACTTGGGCAAGAGTTCATGTTAACCCAATGTGTAACCCGTTCGGATATTGTCCGCACCGAGAACGGCACCCGCATGGAATTTTCTTACTTTTCGACTTAATGAACACGCTTTGAAATGGAAATTAAGGTAAATAGTTTAGTTTAGATGGCTTACTGGTTAGTTGGTTAGCTGAATGACTGTTGGGCGGGTTAGCTCTTTGGTGGCTTCCACCTGGCGCTTAGTCACCCTTTTGCGCAATTATCCTTGACATTCTCAGCTATTTTACTACGAACTGCAACGTAATGTGCCCATGCATATTTTACATTTAACGGGTTTTTTATCCTTGTATGCATGCGTTGTTTAAAATAATTGTCTATTCCGCGAAAATGGTGCCCACTATAAAATAAGACAGAAATAAAACAGTTTTTGAAATAGAAAAACAAATATTAGTTGTTAAATTATCTAAGAATGTCATAAAATATGAACTATTTCAGACTTATACATAAATTCAATAGATATAATATATTATTTTGGCATGAAACATTTGAAAAAAATAGATACATACTATTTGAAGACATGTTTCAATTTGAAATAAATTAAATTGATATTATATTTCATATTTCAAATGATTTACAGATATTTAGCAATTGCATAATATAAACTATCTCAGGCTTGAGTTAAATTTCAAATAAATTAAATTGAAATATTATATTGTTTTGTTATGAAATATGTATTAGATAAAACGTATTAATTTAATGTTAAGCAGAAATAATATATTATTTTGGTATGAATTATTAGAAAAGCAAGATACATATTTTAAAGCAGCACTTAATACTCATTCTGCATATAAATAATTATTGAATAGAAATAGTTGATGATATGAGTCATTTGGGCGACTCAAGCAAACACTTTGAGTGTGTTAACAATTAAAAAGAATACTCACTCCCATTTATGTATTTCAGAAAACAATTCAATAAAAACAAACATTTACTGAGCCCCCACAGGCAATTAGTGTGAAAAAACAACAAGAAGCAGCAGATGAAAAACAACAAGAGCTAAAGTAGAACCACTTGAAATGTTGCCACTGTCAATGCCACACGACCTTTGTTATCATTGGGCGTTGTTGTCAAACGCAAAAGGCGCTCTCAAGTGCCGCCCAGATTGAGTTGAATTTGGCATCAAATTAGCAATGGTCTCGCGTCTGTCGCACTTCTTGTCAATGACAGCCCAAAAATGTTCAATTTGCGTTTGGGTTATGCAAAATCAGAGGCACAACTTTGGCGCTGACACTGAAAAACACTTGAGACACAGTCGAGACTACAAAACTGACAGACAAAAGTTGCAATTAGCAGCGTAAACAACAGAAAGCGGCATTGGGGGAAACATTAAATACGTCCAAATTGGGCAGGAATATCGTTCCAGATAAGAGCCAGGAAAAGCAGTGCAAACTAGGTCGGCAAATCGGTGCGCCGAGGGCTGCCAATTGAGGAGCTTCTGATTTATATGGACGTGTGGTTGGCGCTTTTAAATAAACTAATTAAGTTAATTAGCTGCGATTTGGGTTCGTGTTCTGCACTCTGATCAGCTTACTCGACATCCTCTGGCATTATTATGAAAATTGCAACAAACAACAAAAAATATGTATATTTCCAGCAGCTACCGGTTAATATTAACGCATTATGCAAAAGACACAAAGAGCTAAAAGCGAGGGCGGGCACAAGAGTTATTGAAAAGTATCAAATTAAGGGTATGGATTTATAGCTATAATTCAGGCTTACTTAAAAGTTTTAAAACTGATTATTCACAGAAATATTTTGGGAAACACTCTCAAGTCCAACATAATAAAGAAGCAAGTACTCAAGTACCACAAAGGCCTTCATTATAAGAATACTTTAGGACCATGTTATACTAAATTATTTATTAGATACAGATAAAAAAGGTAAAATAAAATTTAACAAATTAACTTTTACAGCTTCTGAAAATATGTCAATTTCTTAAATAGATAAACGAAGTGTTAATTTGGCTATAAACTAATTGACATGCCCTCTCTTAAACACAATTCAAAAAGCCAAAAGCAACCACTATAAAAAAAAAAGGAAGCGAAACGCAACGCAGTTTTAATGGATTTTTTCTCGATGAGTTGGAGAATTGGTGGGGCAGCAGAGTTTGGGGGTATTCGTGGCATAATGCGGTATTATTGTTGTTTGTTTTCACAAAATGGCCTGACACCAGGCAAACAAACAACGGGCGGGCGACGAACAGCTCAACATTTTTTATATTAAAACCTGCGGTCAGGGCGTGTTGCAGTTGCAGATTTTTACACGCAGCCATTAAAAAGGCACTCGGAGGCGACTCTGGACCAGGTGGTGACGACAACGATGACGACTGAGGACTGCGCGTGGCTGAAGCGTGAAAAATGCAGCCAGACATTGCCAAAATCCCATAAATAAGTACAGCACCAGAGAAGAATACAATACAATACAATACCAAAAAAAAAAAGTGTTAATAACACTAATTTGTCTGCGGTCAAAATGGTAATTTTTGTGGATATTCAGTTGGCCGGAATTGGGTTTGGGCTTGGGTTTGAGTTTGGGGTTTTGCGTGCTGATTGCCAACGGTTTTGGGTTTGGTCAGTAGGTGAAAGGCAGCTGTAATGAGATGTAAACGACGAGGCATTGATTGCTGCTGAATTTAAATATAATTGGGTGCAAAATGTGTTCAAATAAGTCAAAACAGAGGTGTGAAAAGGATTCATTGAGAAGCAACGCAAAGGGCTGTAGCTTTGATGGTAACGGAAATGGATTTTATTAGAAGCAAATAGTGTTTGATATATAATAAGCCCTGACTACCACCACTTAGAATTCTTTGGTAGCTTATAAAAAAAATGTTAAGAAGCGTCCAAAAAGATCATTAGGCTCCCCTCTACTGCAGCTCTCAACGAACACACACGCACACTCTATAAACTAGCGCCAGTTAATTGCCATGGCAAAGACCTAGAGTACAGCCGAGCCGCCGTTCTGGCGCAAGTCGCGACACTCGTCTTTGAGACTCTGCCAAACATCTGGGATCAGTTGGTGCCATGGTGCCCGTTGCTCGTTGCGGTCGCTCGTGCAGCGTCCTCATATGTTAATGGCACTTACTCGCCAAGGCCTGCCCCGCGCTCTGTAGACCCGCTCTGCATTTTTCTGGTACTTAGTTTTCCACAATTTGTGGCTTTAACTTCTTTTCTTTTTGACTAATTCACTTTGAAAATTTTCTTCTTTTTCCATGAGTTGTTCGTGATTTGCGGCAATTTCGTAAAGTGTCTAGCGAGGTTCTAATGTTATGACCGGGCCAAAGCCTATGCCGGAGCCCGTGGTCGGGGGCTAGACCACACCATGGCCTAATGCATTTCAACTTCTTTTGTGTGCTGGTGATAAGGAAAATTGTTTATAATGAGGTTCTGCGGTCTATGCTCAATTGAGTTTACTTAATTGTTGCAACCGGCCACTGGATTTACGCTACGCTGTAGACGGCAATTAGGACAGGGTATAATCGGATAGAACTTCCAGTACTACGCCTAGGTAGCCAGTCCAGAAATTGCCTCCAAGAGCAGAACGACAGGCTCTTTAATGATTTGACTTGGCTAATGCTCAACTAATTGAGTAATTTTTGACTGCATTCAATCATTGGCTCGACTAACCCTTTGTCGAATTTCTCAGGCCCAAGTCAACTCGTTTAACTCTTAGTTTTCTGGCTCTCCCTTTTCCAGCTGGGCATTGCGAATTTCCCAAAGGCGCTTAACTTAACGCTTTATTGTTACAAATTTGCTGCCAGTTGTATCCTTTTACAGCTTCCCAGGAGCGGGTTGCTGTCAGGCTATTCCTTTGGGTGACATGCTTTCACTTCTTAACCTGACCATCAATCATTCCCTTGACTTATGTATTTTTTTTTGCTCAGCCTTTTGTAATCTGTTTGGTCCAGTAGGTTAGTTATCGGCAAATAAATGTGACTATAAATCGAAAAATTATAAACGCTTAGCACTGACCACCATGAGCTAAGACACCCTCATAAGGAGCACAGAATCAGAGACACACCGAAGCTCAAATACTCTCCAAAGTAAGTGTATAAAGTGTGGTGTACAGACTTTGTTGGCAAGCTAATATACCCTTAAGCACATTGCCACCGACTGGAATTGACCAACTTTTTAAGCCTTTAACAAATCCAATTGCTGGCCTGCTTACCAATTCAATTGAGTATCTGGACAACAAGCAACTGTTCTGCCATTTCGATAAACAGTCGGAAAATTTATGCATTTATTTTGACATGCGGCATGATTTATTAACCGTAAGTAATTTGTAAATATACACACTGACAGTCGCAGGACGGCAAAGGGCTAGGGAAAGGGATTGGGCAGCCGGGCATCTAACCCCTGCTCTTTTAGCCCTGGTCAGTCGGGCCAGGGTCCTTTGGGGGGTTCGAGTTTTTAAAAATATATTTGCATTGGCGCATTTGTAACCGCATCGAATTTGTTTGTAATAAAAATGTAAATGGCATCGGACGCCACTTCAAGACGAGTTTCACTCCGAACCACAAAAAACAAAACCAGAAGAAGAAAAAAACCATACACCAAAACGAGTTGCCAAAAGAAATGAAATACGACCGCAAACTGACACTTGAGGATGAGCTTGGACCAAGCGTAACCCTTTCAGTTGGTCAGATCAGGATAGGGTTTGCCTTTATCGCTTTTGCCAAGTGGTTTGGCAGGTTGTGGATTTAGTGCAGTGCATAGTCTGTGCCTTTCTCTGCAGCTAATAAATGGATTTTCATATATCTCTTCGGTTTGTTTGATTTATGTTAAAAGTAAATACAAATTGAAGCATTTTGATAAGCATTAGCTGAGCAAATGCCCTTTCTCAGCTAATTAAAACGCTGCTGGGGAACATTTGCGGGCTCCCCTAAAGTAGAATATAAACAAAACGTGAATTCGAATTTAAAAACACCTCAGCCTTAGCATGTTTGTTGCCTGTTGCCCCAACCCCAATGCTCAAATGTGTTTAAGTGACGCGTTTATAAAACACGCAAAGCGTCCAGCATTCAATTTTGCCCCTTTTTTCCACAGCCAGAAAAAGCATTTGCCAAGGTGACGCCTTTTATTGCTACATTTTCTGGTTATTTTTAGCGGCAATTGCTAGCAGAGAAAAACAGAAAAAAAAGAGAACTACAAAAAAAAAATAAAAGAAAAAACTGCCTACAAATTTAAAATAAATTGAGTTGCCTGTTGAGGTCTGTTCCCTATATCTCTGCGGAGCCCTGTCATTAGTCGTCCCCGCGGCCATACAGAACGCCCGCATTTTGTGCTGTCTTCAAATGACTTATTAGGATTTTTATCTGGATTTTCTGTGTGCGCTTAAAAA